TAATATTTTACTCTTTTTTTTGTTATATTTATAATATTTATAGATATTTTAGCTCTGTAATGTAGATACAATGTACAGTGTAGATACATCCTGTGTCGTCACATCATCCTCATGTTGTGTAGATTAATGAACTTAAAGTGTAAAATGTAGACGACGCAAAAAAAAAGCTCTAAACTAATTTAGGTAAAAATAAGGGTAAATTTAAAAATAATTAATGTAAAAATAGTGGTATTTTTTTGTAAATTTTTTTCTTTAATTTTATGTTTTTTTTTAAGATTTAGTTTATTACGTGTAAAGTGGTTTCTATATAGTTTGCTCGCCGTTCAAAAATTGAAAAAATGATTTGGGCGGGATGGGGTTCTGGTAATGAAGGGAATTGTGGACTTATTGGGGTGTCCAGCGGATGGTTTTAATTATAAACTACTATCACACAGGCAAACCAGGCGCTGGATGGACAAGAAAAAGAGGGACGATTGGATGAGGGTGGGGTGATTGGGATTTTTGGAAGGATCAGAGGGTGTGGGAGTGTTTGGTTGGATGACGAGGGCGGCAAAATGAAATACACAACAACAAAATTATAAAAATAATCAAAGTAAATAAGCGGGAATCGAAGAATATTCCCATATGGGTAGTACAAAATCAATCGGAAATTATTTCAAAGATGCCAAAAAAATGCAATAAACTTACTACACAACGCCAAGTTTATCGATTTATAATTTATTTATAGTTATGTATGGTTTATAGAATATTGTTTTTAGTTAGAGTTTGGTTAGGATATAGTCAATTTTGCATGTGTTTTTTGATGTGTTTTTGCATGTGTGTGTGTGCATGGGGCGGGGCGGGGTGTTTGTGTGTCTTTGCAATAAATATAACGGTAACTAAATATATGTTGTAGCTCAGTCTCCAGTTGATTACCGTATATAATCTATTACAAATCGAAACAATAAAAAAATATATGTATATTATATATATATATATGAATAATATTAAATAAGGACTATCAAATATATATGTAAATATATTCAAAATGCTTGAAATGTACAAAAACAAACAAACAAAGCTCAGTGGTCGGGGGCATAGAGAAATCTTTGAGCTAGTTTCGCTTTCATCTCATTCTGTTTCGTTTCGTTTGCTCTCCTTTCCTGTCCCTTTCTATCCTCTAATTTTTTCGTTTCGTTCCAATGCGTTGTCTACATCATACATCATTTTGATGAATTTAGATGTTGTGTGGTTGCTATTGTACATTTACATTACGAATAGGGGCTTCATAAAGAACTTAGTGTGTGGGGTTGTGTACTCAAAACTTGGGGTCTTCTTCCCTTAGATTGTTTTGTGTTTTTAGTTAATGCTTAATCGCTTTTTTTTTGGGTTTCATTTTGTTAAATTTTTTGTGTTTTTTAGGTGTGTTTGTGTGTGTGTAAACTTTTGTAGTACATTTTTCTTACGGCTGACACAATAGGTTTTTCTTCCATTCTTGGATCTTAAATGCTAAAAATATATAGTAAATGTTGAAAGTTTTATTTCATGTTTTCTCTTCTCAAAAAGGTTATATTCAGTTTCGGTTTCATTAGTTTAGTTTTTATTTTTCTGTTTAAGATTTCTGTTTTATTCGCTTTTTGCTGCGTTTTTTGCTTTTGGTATATTTAGTTTCTCGGAACGCATGCTTTTCCCATGCGTTCCGCTCTTCCATTTCATGCGTTCTGGAGTTGCTTTTCAATTTTAGTTGCTTTGTGTCGTATTTCAGGGTGAGTGGGATTATAGATTCTTAATCTTTTCTGTCTGTTTTTCTGACTAAATTTTTTCCGTCTGCTCTGGATTCTGGCTGATTTTGCGTCCAAATTTTTTTTCAAAACTAAAAAATAATGAACCCCCAATTTGTATCGATTAAATTTGTGCTGGTTTTTCTTCTCTAGGATTCCTTAATCCTTGTTTAGAATTAGTTTACGTTTTTCACTTGCATTTTTCGTTATATTCATATTCTCATTTTCACTGTGTGAGTGGCGGCTTGGCTTTTTGGGCTATTTGCTCTGCTTTCTTCATGTTTTCTCTGCGTGGCTAACGGTTCTCTGCCTATACTTCTGCTTTTTTCTGTTCTATGTTTGCTGTTTCTGCTTCTGGCTGTTCTGCTGTCAAGCTTGACTTACGGTTAAACTCGCTTTTTATCGTTATCGTTAATCCTTATCTTCGCTTTAATAGAATGTCTCATTAATCAACTGTTCCTCTCTCTGTCTGGCTTCCTACCTCGGCTGATGCTGTTGCTCACTAGCTTTTACGCTCCTAACGATTGAAAAAAAACAACTCTGTTTTTTGTATGTATATGCCTAAAGAAAAATTCTTTCAATATTTAGGTAAAATGCCTTCTCATAATAGACGAAAAAAAATATTTAAAAAAATAATAAAACTTGATTTGTACTCATGTTTGTACCGCTAAAAACGTTTTTCCTTTCATTTCGTTTAGTTTTCCTTTGTAAATATTTATATATATGTACATATATAAAAAAATATTCCTTTTTAAAAAAGTATTCTTCCCTTACTCCGTGTTTCATAACATTTTTTTTATGCTTGTAAAGAGTTTATCTTTTTTTCATCGATATCGATTTACCTCATCGTCCTTTCATTTCATATCATTTCACTGCATTAAGAGTACAAACTTGCTTGCTTTAGCTTTATGTTAAATTATATTTAGAAATCAAAATTAAATTAAATCCTCTGAATTCCGGTAGCAAAGCAAATTCTTGTTGTTGATTATTCGTGTTCCTAACAGATGTTTTTGGGCTTTTTATTCCCTGTTACTTTCCTCAAAGAAATTGGCTGTCGAAGTACTTTTGTGGGTTGGTGTGTGTTTTTGTAATGTTGGTTCTTGCGCGTGTGTGTATATATGTTTGTGTATAAAATGTACATCAAAAGCATTTTTTTGTTGTTAAATAATAAGTTTTTTTTTTTAAATTTTCATTTTTTGTTTTGTTTTAGTAAGTAGTTTTTATAGTTTAAATAGTTGTTAAATTTAAAAACGAGTTTATCACACCTTAAACGTTATCAGTACTTGGCACAACTTACAACACAAAAAAGTACTTTTCTCATTATTCTTTTTCTCCTTTCCCTTTTTTTATTTGCTCAATGGGACAATTCAATTAAACTTTTTCCGGAAAAGAAAACTGCACAAAATTGGCATGAGTGCTAGGAAAATGTTTGAAAAATGAAAAGAGGATTGTCGAAAAATGCAATATATAGAATTGGTAGCAACCTTGTAAGTAGATTGTACCCCCAAAAGTTTTGTACATTTGGTGTCGAGTGTACTCTAAAATTTCGAAATGCTACACTCATGCCAGTTCTGGTTTTTCGAGTTCTGCACAATTTTTTCCGATTTCCCATTGGGTTATAAAATTTAACTTGCTCTTACTAAACCGCCTTTCATTTTTCGTTTTTACTGCTGGTATTTTCCCTCTTCTTGATCTCATCCTAACCGTTGCCTCACTTTCCTACCTGCTTTAATAACGATATAAAATAGCCTCTAAATACTAAAAAATAATTTCGTTTCTGCTTTTCACTCTCCTCACAATCGCTTTTCTCTCTTCATTCTTCAACTGAGTTCTCTTTCTACATCATTATCATTATCTTTATTCGTATCTTTGTCTTCGTTTTTAACGCGCACGCTAACTCACAAGTTTTCAGTTGATTCGTCGATCTCTGTTCTCAATTTATATTATGTTTATCGTGTTTAACCCCCCCGTCAAAATAAACCAGAGCTATAGCTAAATTATTAACTCGTCCCTTTCATCGATCTGACTTTTCTTTGATTCAGCATTTGGAATAATAATTTTCATTTCTTTGTTCTTTCCTTTTGGGAATCTTTTAGAAAAATTCCATTCGTTCTTTATAAATATCGTTTTTAAGCATAGATCCACATATCTATATACTGATATATATGTATATGTATAGGTCTTTTTATTGACAACTTTGGACATTTTTCCGTGGAAAAAATAAGAAGGTATAATTAATTAGAATAATCTTTCATTATAAACAAGTGGCAAAATTTATTAGATGTATATACATATATATATATATAGATATACATATATAGATTCTCAAGTATAACAAAACAAAATGTCACGCATTTTCAACATACACATATATATCGCATATATATACATACATAGTGGCTTGATTTTCGTATATAAAGATCAATGTTAATGCCCAGCAACATTCTTATATACACTTCCCATCCCCTCCTCATTCCTTCCTGCTCCTATATCGCCTACATCCCTCTGTTCTAGATTTGCTTCAGTTGGTATGGTACATATGGTATGGGTGGGGAGTTTGACCCAAAACTATTTCGCGTAGGGCTTTGGTGGGTGAGTGATTGTTTGATTGGTTGCTGTGGGTTTGATTTGGATTGGGCTTTGGGCTCAGGGGAAACTTCTGGGAAAATATCCATTCGCCTGTTTTGTCTTTTAGAAGATACATCATCGAAATGCGTTTACTTCTTCTGTGGTTTGGTGATATGCCTTCTCCAATGTTTTTCTGATTCCGGTTCTAGTTAGATTTGTATTGTTTCTTTCATTATAGGTTTTCGTTATTTGCTTGCTTATAAACTACTCTTTTCATGTTAATGGTTGTTTTTCATAATTTGTTTCTCTCATTAGGATGTTTTAGCTTTTGCATTCATTTTTACGCTTCGCAAGTTTGTTTAGTTTTATTTTTTTTGTTTTGTAGAAGATAATGCACTTACATTGAGGTATTTTAATTACTTTTTCAATCTTCTTCAAATTCTTCATCATTTCTGCTTCTGCTTATTTTCTTTTGTTTCTTCTTAAAAAGAACAAAGAAAACTTGATATTTCAAAAATTGGGCTGTCCTAAAGCTTGTACACGCTTCTTGCTGGTTTTCAGTATTTATCCAAAATTTTTATTAATGTTATTTTATCCAAAATAATGTGTCGCTCAAAATTTTTTCTTTTTGTTGTTGCTTGTTTGACCGAAATGTTGTATTTTTTGGTTTGCTTTTTGTTTTTTGCCGAAATGTTGAATTTGCCTTGATTTGTATGTGGTGTTTTTAAACTGTCTGCCTCCGAAGCAAGTGTTATACAAACAAAAGGGTTGGATCGCTAGGGATTGGGGCTTTGATTTGATTTGATTTGGTTGACTGTTTGTCCGTCCAACTACTTCGTAACATTAATTCTATGGAATAGCAATAAGTTTAATATTTACGTTACAAAAAAATATAGTTAATAATTAGATAATAGCTATTTCAAAACAACACAAAATTGGGCTATTGCTATTGTTGCTTGTTTTGGCTGGGGTAGATTGTAGTTTGATTGTTTGTTGCTCCGATTCAGTTACTTGGGTTGCGGCCTCTAGCTATGGTGTTTGGTCATACGGTTAATGTTTATATATTGTCTGTTTACGCTACGATTACGACTTCTACAAAATGCATCCTTCAGTTTTGATTGCTTTGTGGCTATGAATTAGACTTTGATTTGGGTTCGGATTGGCTGGGTTATGTTGTTGTGTAGTGCAGTGTCCCATCCATGTATAACAGCTTGTCTCTCATACATGCTCAAACGTTATAACGTAACACTTAACGTTAACGATCGATTAAAAAAAATTAACATTTCAGCACCGTTATTTCATTTCTAGTTAGTTTTGTTTTCATTTCAAGGCAAACACATTACAATAGTTTTTTTTTAACACTATCTCTCGCTCTTGCATTTGCTATAGCGTTCTTATCCTTCCATACTCCTTCTTCTCCTTCCGCTGCTTTCGCACTAAGTATAATCAACAATTCTTGTAACTCCATTCCTTGCAAAAAAAATGACTGGTATTCGTATCTATCCATACAAACAACTTTTCAAGCATCGAAAAACTATTTTACAGCTGTACAGTACATTGCTCTTTCTGGCATTTTTTGTTCCATCCAACTCCCTTCCTATCGATTTAGTCCCAATATACACACTCATCCATCCATCAATCCATCCAGTACAGCTCTTAACGATATTGTATACATAGATAGTTGTTTTTTTGGTGGTTTGGGTTTTGGGTTTAGGTCTGTTATGCTACGTATAACAGTGGGGCGCCATCAGTTGCTTCAACTGTTGCACATTGTACACATAACTTTATCAACTGATTTTTAGAACTCAGAAATTAGTGTTTGTTGGAAACGTTGTTCACCTTTTTTGTTTCGGATTGTGGGCTCAAAATTAGTATTTTTTGTGTTTTTTGACGCTTTTGTTGTTTTCCATGTCTGTATTGTTTTTTTAAAATTTTTTTTGATTTTCCTTGGTTATAATTTTTGCTTGTACACAATTTTCGGTTGAATTGGGAATAAACAATTGTTTATCCCCTTATTTTCTTGATTCTCAATCTCGTTCTCTTGCGCTTTGCTCACTTTTCTCCTTCTTTTCTTTTCACTTAAATATAAGCTTACTAAATCTTTGTTAAAAAAAATAATTAAAAATAAACGTTTTATAGTTAAATATATTTAAAAAAAATATAACGCATACACTACTAAACTTTCCTTCTTTATCCTTTAATTTCCTTTCTTGCATTAAAATTGTGGGTTGGTAATTTTGTGGGTTTTCTTTTTAGTTCCTGTGACTCTTTGTGTTGTTGTTGGAAATATTGTTTAAATATAAAAGTTATGAATATTTCTAGATGTACGGCAATTGCCTTGGAAAAGAGAACTTTTGGGCGGTGCCGTATTTCTCAGCCGACACAAAAGTTTACTCCTATCTAAACAACAACACAAAGTCGGGGCGGGGTGTTTAGTGTTATGGGTGATCGATTTCGCTTTCTATTTACTTTTTCTCTTTATTTCTTAGTATGCAAATGAAGAATGGTGTTATGGTTATTCTTGCTGTGTGACTGTTGCTGTTCTTCTTGTTAAAGTTGCAATACACTCGTTATGAACTAGTAGAGCTTCTTTGCGCGGGTCACTATATATGTATGATTTTGTTTATGTTTCTGCTCCAGATTGTTTGCTTACTTTTGCCGTCGCCTGTGCCAGCACAAAGGTGGCGCCTACGGTTAGCTTGTAATTATAGGGTTGTAAATAATGGGGTGGTTCTTGGGGGATTGAAGATAACGGGTGTGTTGTGGAGGTAGTATCAACAGTAGAAAACCCTGCCTTGGCTATTGTTGGAGCTGTCGCTGCTGCCGTTGATGTTGCGTTTGCTGTTGCAGTTACTGCTGCTGCTGGTGCTGCTGCTGCTACTGTTGCTGATGTTTCTGCTATTAGTGTTGCTGCTGCGGCGCCGGTTCTCCTTCATCGGTGGTTCCCGCTCACTGCTGTGAGCTCGCCAGCTGCTGCTGCTGCTGGGCTGCGGCCGCAGTTGCATTGCCAGGTGGCGGCGGCGATGGCTGCTGCTGTTGCAACTGGTGTGAGGTCGCTGCCGTCGACGCCTGCTGCTGATGGTGTGCAGGCGGCGTCGACGATGACGACGCCGATGACACAGGCTGATGATGCAATTGCGGCGGCAGCGCCTGCTGTTGCGATGGCGACTGTGGCTGCTGCTGCTGCTGGGACCCGCTGGTCGCAGCTCCGGCGAGGCTCTGTTGCTGTTGTTGCAATTGTTCTTTGGCAGCTTTCTGTTTTTTGGTTATTGGCGGCGGATTTGTCGACAGCATCATGGCTCGGATGCGTCGCTGTGCAGACTGAAATAAATAAAATCGTAGCGTTAATTTGTAACGACAATCAGTATTCCGCATGTAGACACTCACCTGTACGCTGTAGAATGGTCCAATGATGTGCACTGGTGTCTCCTCATCGCCGCCCGACGGCGGTGCAAGGGCATGCTCCGGCAACTTGATCACACTGCCCGTCACGCGCTGCAATTCGCGCACATTCTGGCCACCCTTGCCAATAATGCGACCCACCTAAATTCGAAATGAGTTAGTTAAGCTTATAAAGGACGCTAGCCGCGGCATGCCGAGGGCTCGAGGATTAAGTCTTGATTAAGATGCCTTGCGAACTTGAATTCTTAGATATTATTAAAAAACTTTTTTTCTTGTTTCTCATGTCTATGATTTTTTTAATTATGAAAGCCTGGTCAAACGGATACTGAGCTGAAGAATTTGCCTAATTGAAAATATATAAATTACCTGAGAGCTAGCCACAAGCAATTCAACTGTGAGGCGCACATCGTCCGTGCCACACATGAAGCCCTCCTCGCGCATCTTCTCGAAGATCATGTACTGCGCCTTCCACTGACCCTCCGGTGTGCCAACAATCGTCACCTTGCGCTCCGTTTGTTGGTCCAGCGGCTTGTCGGCGTCGAGGGGGGCTATTTTGAGGGATGCGTTCGAGAAGCGCATAATGCTCCGGATGTGCGAGCCCTTGGTGCCGATGATGGCGCCGACAGCGTTGTTCGGTATGTAGAGATAGGTGGTCTCCTGCAGGTCGTTGGGGAACACCGGTGGCACCACACTGGCCGGGGTCTTGGACATGGCAAAGCTTTGACACGAGGGGAACGGCATGCTCGTATTGAAGACCATGCCGTTGCCCGGTGTCGACATCATTGCCATGGGATGGAGACCGGGGAACATGAGGCTCTGCGGCGCCATCGCCTGCAGATCATTCTCGTAGCTTTGGCGCAGTTTGGTGCTAATCTGGTTCTCAGCACGCGACATGTTCTCAATCAATCCCTTGACCGTGATGATGCGCTCCAAGTTGAAGCTGTTGATGTCGTTGATCGAGCTGACGGTGATCTTCGTATCGGTGTCCTGCATGATCCGTTTAATGGTATTGCCCGACTTGCCAATGATCCGTCCAATCAGATTGTTGTGGGCGAGTATTTTAAGGCAAATTTCACTGTTTTCGAGGGGGAGTTCACTATTAACCGTTTAGAAATGAAATAGACAAGATGCAAAGAGAACATACCCCTTATTCGTGGAGAGGGCCTCCTGCTGCATCACTTCTAGGATGCGTTTGCAGGCGTTTGTACAGTTCTCCGGATTGCCATAGATCGTGATAGATTTCTCCAGCGAGCCAACGTTCTCCTTGCGGTGAACGTCGACACGAGCACGGCTCTGTTGTGTGATCGTCCTGATGGTGCTGCCCTGGCGGCCAATAATGGCACCCACCATCTCGCTCTGCACAAGGATGCGTAGCGGGAAGTCCGCCTGGCGTCCGGGGCCGGGCATCCCCGGATACGGATTGCGCTGGTTGCGCTGGCTACGCCGCTGGTTCTTGTCCAGCTGCTCGGCATGCAGCTTGCTTCCTTCGAACTCGACACCGTTTAGACCACCAGCAGCTCTGTGTGGGAGAAGAAATGGCGGGAGAAATATTGATTAGTGCTTAATTCAAAATTATTCGGTTGCCATGTCAGTTTTCTTGAGATCCAGCAATAGCCCATCCCATATCTCAGTTTTTCTTATCTTACTCTAATAAAATATGTTAAAGACATGCATATCCAACAAATTTTGTTCAAATTTTACGGAACGGGTTGAATAATGCTTAAATTTTTAGAAATTTTACAAATCTGCATCTTTTAACATTTGGCTAGCGGTCAAATTTTAGGCAACAAAGTTTGGTATGACAAAATCCAAGTTACATATATATAGGAATTTAATTTAATGTATCAGGTTCTTTTATATTTGGAAACTTTCTATATACCAGAATATATAAATAAATCAATATTTAGAATTTACTTTATTGGATTGCCTGTTAACATGTATCATGCAAAGTAAAATCAAATATTGTTAATGGTATCATTTTAATACCAGCTTATTTTTATTGCAACATTCTTCAATTTACCAAGTTTACAATCCCTTATTTACAGGCAAAACTTTATTTGTAAAGTGAAATCAAAACGTTGATTGAATTTGGAGATACACATGGCCAATTGATTCAGCGATTTGGGTGATTTGGAAGAAACACGAAGTATGGGAAGAGGGGTAGGTAGGTAGCCACATTAAAACGCATCCTGCACAACCCCAAAAATAAAACCCCTCAAGTATTCGCCCCCACGCCCGATATAGAGATGTATCTGAATACACGCCCAACACTAGACAACCACAAAAAAACCGTTAAGGAATCAATGGTTTTCCATAGTGTCTGGTGTTGGGCTGAAAATTCCGCTTAGAACGATTCTTAGATGAATAGTTTTTAGATGAGTAGTTTTGGGTATATACCTTTGCGCCTGCTCAGGATTTTCGAATGTTATATGTACTGTTTGAGTATTTTGATCCTTACTAGAAATAGCCTCACACTGTTTGACGATGCCATAGGGCTTCAGTAGCGGTTCGATGTCTTCGAAACGTGTTTGCATCGGTATGCCGCTTATTAAGATTTTTGATGTCGTAACACTGTGAAGAAAATAGCGTAAAAACACACAAGAACAAGAAAAACAAACAAACACAAAAGAAACAAAAATAGTAGTAGTTATAGTAAGTAGAAATGATAGTAGAAGTTATGATAGTAGTCCAAAAACAAAAGGGACGGAAGTCGGTGAGTGGGGGAAATGGGAAAATGAATTAGATAAGAAAATATATGCGAATAAAAGAAAAGTAGTAAGTAGTAAGGAGAAAGCGGTCGGTCAAAGAATGTGCTGTCTAGGAGCAAGGAAACAGTGTTGCCAGAATTTTAGCCAATTCTTAAAAAAAAAAAATTAAAAACTCCCGCAGGATTTTAAGCAATATGGTGGAAAACAATTAATACAAAACCAAGAAATATAACTCTGTCTAAAACTTTCAAACCTGAGAAACAACAGTCCATTTTACATGAAAAATAGACAGTAGTTTCATGATTTGTGTATTAAATTGCTTTCTTTGTTTTCCCACAGATTCTGGCAGCACTGAGAGAATACAGATTAACAGAAACACAAAGACAGAGAGAGATCAAGCAGCGCAACTTGCATCTAAAGAGCGATTTAATCTAGAGTTACGAATGATTTGGGTTCGGTTTAACACATATTTTTGGGGTAGGCGGTAAGGATTGGGGCGGGGAGATAAGCCAAGATATCTAGAACACCAAAAGGAGCTGAGATCCCCCGACATAAATGTATGAATAAATAAAGGATGCTAAAATTTTGTCGCTGTGCGAATGCGTTTGTGTTTGGAGGTGTATGGGAAGTGTGTAAAAATGTTACATTCAAATTCAAAGCAAGGCACAAAGAGCGAAATTGTGAGAGTACATTAAGTGCGTAATAATAAGAGAAAGGGTAATTAATCGTATCTATCTGGAAACTTTAATTACGATACTCCTACCCCCAAAAATTGAAAATATTTGGTAAGTATTATTTATTTCTACGTTTCCTAGATATTTAAGTAGAATAGAAAGTTTTAAAGAATGAGTGCAGTATTTTTAAGAACACCTTACTACTGTACAGATCTGTTATGCTACAAATGAGTACATTCATGCAGAAGTCTATTATAAACATCCTGCTGCCTTAACGGCATTGCAATAGTAAAGAGTAAGAGCAGCAGGAGAAGATGAAGAAGCAAAAGAAACAGACCAAGCATCTTTTTCTACACATGAAGAAAAATGTTCGATATGATGAATAATCAAGTTTTTCATTTTAGATTGATTACCAGAAAATTCACTTAATATTTGAAAAATGTTGAGCGATATTGTAAAATATTTGATTCTAACATTGAATTGTTAAATACATCAACTTTTTTCGGTCAACGGTGGGAGAAACTCAGGAGTTTTCTTACAAGGGGCAGAAGCTCTTTGTACATTTCAAATTGGTATGCAAATTTAAAATCTAGTAAGCCTGAGCATTTCGATTTAATTCCGAACTGATTTTTTCGGAGTACGAATGTTGCCGTCTCCTGTTGCTGTTGATCTTCGAAGAGTACAACAAAAATAAGAACGAGAGAAAACGACGAAGGCAACGCAAACGACGCCTGGAATGTTGCACATTTAATATCGTGTTTATTTTTCTTGGAAGTAATTTCACTCCAGTCGCCGACGTCGCCACCAAGCTAACAAAAAAAGACAACCCGAGAAAGCCCCTTAAAAGGAGGGGGAGAGGATAGGTGGAGGAATGAAAAAAGAGTAGACGCGTGGAGCTGGCTTATTTCGATTCTTTCATTCCCGCCTTGTTGTTGTTCTTGTTTTTCTCTTTAATTTCATTCGCTTTGTGTGTTTGGCACTTTTCTTAATTAACAGTTTACATATTTTAATTCTCACACACGTTGTTTGTGGTTTAACTCCCATTAATGAATGATCTTTAATTAGCTGTCAAACCGCATACGTGAATGTCAAACTATGCAGAGCTATCATGTTTTTATAAACTTAAAAATTAGTTTAATCATATTTGTAGGTCATGTTTGTCTTTCTTTGGAATTAACCCTGTTTTCCCTTATTATTACACCATTTAAAAAAGTGATTTAACATGAATTTTGATATAATTTTGTAGATAATATTACATTTTGTAGATTAATCTTACATATTCAAAAATGTAATTAAAAGCAAAACAACTTCATATGGTATGTATACAATAAAAGTCAAGGGTAAAGAAAACAACCTGAATAAAAAGTAAAGGAAAAATGTTTTAAAATTGCATTTAAAAACTGTATTACCAATTTTTGGGTAAAACAATTTCTGGATAGCATTCAAAAGTTAGTCATTTAGCTAAAAATTAGCTACAAAACTACAAAATTTGGTTTAATATCTCTTATCGTTCACTTATTAAAATATTCCAAAACAAATTAGGGCATCTGGCCGCCACCTTATTTGGGTACTGGTGGAATCACCATGAATCGTTCCTCCCTGATGTAAGATATTTTTAAATAACATGATCATCTGTTTTGAGTTTCAGTAAATTACAAGTATAAGAGGGAGAACACAAAAAACAAGTGAGAAGAGAAAGATTGACGCATTCCGACATTCCAGCATTTCATTTGCCATTCACATCCCGCGTCCCCTCCCGATTTTTTTTTCTAATTTCTCCACTTGGCACTCCCGCTCTGACCGGTTTTTCTATACATTTAGTTTATGCCAGCACAATTCTCATGCGATTTATAGGGGGCTGTGGCGCTTTTCCAGGAATTGCTGGCAGAACGTGGAACAAATTTTGCCACCGTTTGCTATTTTTCTTTTGCTGCGCTGGAAATCTTGAATTTGCTGGAATACGATATTCCCCAATGACTGTCAAACTGTGTCGGCTAACTGTAATTGCTGAGCATGCGTCACATCTGCTGCACTACGTTGTTGTTGTTTTGTTTTTGATGCAAATGACAAGTTGCAGTTCGTTGACGTTGCGTTATGTTGGTGTTTTGTGTTGTGGTTGTTGTTGCGTCTGGCACACCGGCTGCATCCAATGAGAGAGGAGAGCGCATCGTTTTCTCTCTCTCTCTCTCTCTCCCTCTCCCCTGCCCTCTCTTTATTTTTCTATCTTTGTTCCTCTTTGCCAGTCTGAGCAACAATTTTACTTTTTTTGTTTTGTTGTGGTTGTTTTCCATTTTACTAGGTGTATAATATACATATGTATGTACATGTATGTAAGTGTTTTCATGTTGTTGTTTTTTACCTGACATGTGACCGATTCTAAGCAAATGACCTCTGCCGCGACCACACAAACACAATTAAAAGCGCACACACATTCGCACCTGGAAAAGCGTTGTTGCCGCTATTGTTATCAATCCGCGACCTTAACGCGATGGCTTACATTCGGGGGTAAAATAAAAGGCATTTTGCAGTATGTAAATTACGTAAATATGAACTTAGCCTGCATTCCATTACCAGAATCAAGAAGAATCAGAAGAGCAATCAATCATAATAAGAGGATTATTATTTCAACCCTTCACTAAAATATATTCTCTGCAAACTGTATATTTATTATATTTTGTAGCATATAATGTAATACTTCTACACAATACATATTTATAAACCAATTTTTTCTCAAAATTAGTTGAAGATAAAAAAAGTCGAACTGTCCTTCTATGGTTTACGAAAAGTGTAAGCCCTATTAATTTAAGCACAGCTGTATACACTGCCAATTTTAATCAATATACGACTTTTCAGCAGCAAAGACGATGTCGGTGCCTTCGCGTATGTATTTATTTCTATATTTTTTGTTTTTAGCTTTTATCTCTCTTATAAAAAGGCGACGCTCACTGCACTTACACACACAAACGCTGCTGCTTTATCAGTGCACACATTGCAAGTGTGTGAGATTTCTTTCATCCTTACTTTTTCTTTCTTTCTTTTGTATAATTTTTATGAATGAAAAAGTCGGAGATCTGCTGACTGATTTATTTGTAATGCAACTTTATTTTTGTCTCATGAATATATGAATGTGTACTTGGTACTTGTTCACCAATAATTGTCTGTATGTATTTATTTACACTGCACTGGATGACACGCATATGCCACATATAAACATAAATATGTACAAATGTTGCATTTATGTATGTATGTTGTTCTATTTTCATGGCATTCCACAAGTTGCTGACAAACAGCACATACTCACTGTCAGTCCATAAGCAATCGACTAAGCTTAGTTTTCTCATTTGTTGCCGTTCCTTTAACTTCTTTTTCTATTTGCCGAGCTTATCTATTGTCCCCTCCCCTTCTTTACAATTTTCTTTGCAACACCCATGGAGAAAAAAGTAGCAAAGGAATTTATTTTGTCAACATATAGAAAAGAAAAACTTGTTTTTAGCTTACAACTGCACAGAAAGAAACATTTATATGAAGAGAATGACGAATTTGATTTTTGGACAAGATACGGGCATATTAATCAATAAGTTAAAATCAATTACTTTAAAACATATATATACCCCGCCATTATTTTTCAAAGCTCCAGCCTAACATCATATTACGTGAATTAATCTTGAATTTAGATATTTCAAAAATGGTATAAAACATGTAAATAACCTATCAAGCTGATTTTTATTTCTGTGTAAAAGGTAATACAGAGGAAAGAAAACAGGGGGAAAGAGGGGAGATAGAACGAGTAGTGCAACAAGAACAGAAGCGAAAAACACAACGCTCGCATTGTTGCTAGCTGGTTTGACCTAAATTGGTGCACGGTGGTGTGGGGACGGTTCTCACTGTCACCTCCCTCGCAGCAACACCCACAGTGACGTACGTCCATCACTTTTCGGACATTGCGCTTTCCGATTCGAACAACGCGAATCTGTCACACACTTGTGTCAGGGGATTCACCAATGCAACCTGAGTAGCATTTGCGTCCACAGCAACACAATCAACTTCCCTTTTAAATTCAATTAGCATCATATTTTTTTTGAAGATTTTTTGAGCTAATAACGTTTTTATATCATGTATTTGAAAATTTTAGAGTTTACATTTTAACCTTAATAGTATATACAAATGTACATATTTTCTATTACAAATT